CTGCAGTGGGGTCTCTTCAGCAGTTTTCAAACGTAATTTCGGACATGAAACGAAGTGTTCGAGATGTGAAAATCGGCACTCGTCTCTATGCCAGAATTGCAAGCTGTCGCCCAGCTTAGCGTAGGTCACATATGGCAGCTCGGTAAACGTGCGACCGACAAGCAAATCGACCGACAGGGCCTCGTCGGGTACAACAAGTATCTGTATGTTCTTGCCAACGACGCCATCTATCAGCAAGTCGGCCCGGCACCTGCCAATCGCACGAGCAGCTGGAACTCCTTGGCTGCCGAAACCATACAGAGCTGTCGCATCTTCCAGCACTTCCGCTCCGCACCGCACCGCCGCTGATTCGCGCAGTAAGCAACCAGAACTGCCTGTGTCTATCATGCCAATCAAAGTCTCACTGCCATTCCATTTAACGTGCTTCAAAAGCACGCCAGGGTCAATTTTCTCTCCAGAGACAGCGTTGGTCTCATTTCTGGGGCCGTTTGCTTGGCAGTGTTTTTGGGTGTGCCCAGTCTTCCCACATTTTAGACATTTTTCAATTCGTTTTTCCTCTGGGCAATCCCGCGAAATGTGTCCGAATTTGGAACAATTATAACATTTTCGCTCACCGTACTGATCTGTGACAGCTGGCCGCTGGTCCCGCCCGTCGTACCCGGACGCACCCTGCAGCGGTGCCTTGGGTGCAGGTTGTATACGAGGTGCATCGCTCGTCGCTCTTCGCTCAGCCGCTGTCCCGAAGCGTTCTCGTCGCTCGCGGTCGATCCTCTCAAATTCCTGAATGTCATGCAACAGGTCATCCGCGTCTTCGTGCGACCTTCCAAGAAGCATCGTGCATAACTCCCGCGATCGGAGACCGATCAGCACCTGCTCCCTCGTATCACAGAAATCTAAATGCGCCTCTCTGCAAAGGCGCACCTTCTCGTGGAAGTACGCAGCCGTGTTCTCATTTCGCTGCTGCATTCGCTCTTGCATACGCCTCCATCGCTCCGCCGCCCGTGTCTGGCTGTAGAAAGTCCGCCCAAACATCCGCTCGAAATCGTCCCATGATGAAATTTCGGCAGCTCTCGAACGGTACCAATCCTTTGCGGCGCCGACCAGGTGACACTTGGCAGTTTCGAGCAGGAATGGCGTTGGCCACCGGTGAAGCGTAGCCGTCTGGCGCAAACCTTCCATCCATTCCCAGGCTGCTGACGCGCAACCATCACCGGAAAAGTCTGGAATGTTCTTGCTCAAATCGGGCATCACCTGAAACGTGTTGATGGCCGCCTGGTGTGGAGCCCCCGACGACTCCGGCTGAGGCAGCCGCCGCAGCAGGTCCGCCAACAAGCGGTCTTTCTCGCGCAAAGCGTCGAAAAGTTCCCGCTTGGTGAGCCCAGCACAGTCGTCGTCATCACGGTGACCACTCTCCTCCGGCGATGATCCGTCCAGCATGGCTGATGTTAGCTCTCTGGAAGTGCACGCTCACTGGAAGTCCACCATTGCTTTGTTCTCGCACTGACGCAATCGTACTCCTCGCTAAGGTTTTTCAAACTCGTTCCGAACGTTTTTTTTTAAATCGGTCAAATCCCACTTCTGATGAATGTTAGCGTCCTCTATCCCGCTTTTGGTAAAATTTAGGGTGTCGCCGGTATGGCCGTAAAAAGGTGAAAATTGATAGAAGACACAACACACGACTCACGCACTGTTAAGAAAATGTAAACAAAAGAAGGCTGTATTTAATTAAAAAAACTAGGTTACAATTATTACTCGCGCAACTGTTCAATTCCGCACATCGCACAACGCACAACCGCTCAAGTCGCTCGCAATTCGCAGACTCTTCTTCGTTCGCCGTTCTCGCTGCGTCTCTGGCTCTTCCCGCGCTTTCTCGCTCTCTTCTGTCGACCACAGATCCGAGTACACATACGCGCACGCTGACACAAACGCGCACGCACCACACACACACACACACACACACACACGCACGTGCACAAATTGTTCCACGAAGTCAGTGGTAGAGGTCCGTCGCTTAGCCATTCGGGGAAACAGAGTCGAACGTCCCACAGGCCACGGATGCACAAAGCGGCATGTTTCCATCCTCTTGCACTCGAACTGGCAAGGTGCATTAAAGCGGGCCGCCGCCTTTGTGCTGACCCGGCGCCCGCAGGTCTGGGAGGCTCGCCGATCGCTGTTGCCCGTAAACAAGGAGGACGGCCCCCTCGAGTGACCAACGGACACTCGCACGGCACAACACACGCAAAAAAGAAATAAATAAAACAAAACTTGGAAGATTTGAGGCAGTCGCGTACAGATAATACTCGCGGTAGTTCTCTACTGTTTGAGGCCAGGACGGGAGCGTTGCGAACCAAGACATATCGGGCCAAATACGAACTGGTAGACACGGTATGCAGTGCGTGTGGTGTTATGCCTGCGAGTCGACAGCGAACGTCCGTGCCTCTGAAAAAGGCAATCTGTGTCAAGGCCAGCCCGCAAGTCCGCCTGACGCGAACAACTCAACGGCGTCAACTGGCGACGGCGCCTTTCTGGCGTGCACGTGCAGTGAGTCACCTCAGTAAGCGAGCCCGTCGAGTAAACAACCGGCGTCTTCCTGTCTGGGGGTCTGACGCAATGCGCGGCGACGTCACTCGTCCTTGGGTGCAGCCACCTGCAGCGCAGCCTCTCCAGATTCTACGAGAAAGAATGACGCGGCCCAGCGGCGACCCCCATTGGAGGAGTCTGACCTGACGACCAGCGGCGCTTCTGGTTGGACATTTGGGTTGGACCCGGTGCATATAAAAGAAGCCCTGCGGCGCGTCGCGAGCAGGAGACCTGTCGGAGAGCTGACATGTGTGTCAGAGCAGACCCATTTTGAGAGCAGACCTATGTGTTAGAGAGGAGAGCTCGGCTCTTCGAGTCTCTGTCGGCCCCAGTGCCGAATTTGTAACGCCTCTGTATATATGCTGTACATAAACCTTGTTTAACTCACCGTCGTCTCGTCCGCTCGTCCATCAGCTCTGCGCAGAAGCAGTCGCGAGCTGAGAAACCTACGCTACCAAACGGCTGGTGACCTTCCCGGCAGAGTTCGAAGCAGTGGCGCCTGCGGGACCGTGTTGGCGTCACCGTCTTTCGAAACAGTGGTTGCAGCGGTGGGATTTCGAGGCGCCCTTCGTAACGTCGTCGGAGGCGAGCGCTTCGTAACAGTGGAGAGGAAGAAGAAACTGCCGAACACTTGATAATGTTCTGTAAAGGGCTTCACCCTGTAGTTCAGGACGATGGCGCAGAGTTTTTTAAAGCACTGGGGTTTAGGGACAGTGAGGGCAAAATAGACGGTAAGCGGGTAGAATTAACATGAAGGAGGGTATCTGATTGGTGGCTAAAGTCAAGGCACGAGTGAAAATTAAACCCTTCACTGCAAAGTACGAATCCTCAACCTCACTATTTAAGGGGGAAAATAAATATATTTTTTGGTTCATTAATTGTATTGCGGCTTGGTGGCGCTAGCCACCGTTCGATCTAAAGGGTACAGCCATATCCATCAATCCATCCAATGTTGAAAAGATGCGAGATGGTGGCATTTGGAGTGTTCACTAGACGGACGGACATATAGACAGACAGACAGACGCACAGACGGACAGATCGACCCACGGTTGGAAAGACGGATGGATGGACGAACGGACGGACGAACAATTCGCCCCACTCATCATCAGTCATTCCATGAATATGCCGTGTTTTTTATCAACGCTGCTATCACGCTGTCCGCACTCTCTCCATGCCATGGCCGCCGCAGAGCGAGCTCGGAGCTAACTTGTCTGCCCAAGAAGCTCGGACCATCCTTCATAGCACCCCCGGAGAAGGCTACAGGCAGGCACCTATCCGTATGGAACACTGTTACACGCAATGTATTCCAGCAACAACAGCAGGAACTGTTACTACTACCCGCACTCTGCAAAGACCCTGTACCACATGGTATGGGGCTGTCGAAAGAACTCGAGTGTCCCACTCATGGTCGAATACAGCGTACGAAAAAATTAAGAAGACCATAGTGAGAGGCATTGGTGACGTCGGTAAACCATGAGGACCAGCTACGGCTAATGGAAAGGGCTCAGGCATCGGCGGCTAGCCACGGCTACTTGGAATGAGGAAGTCACCCACTTCTGGGCGAAGAGAACACGTGCCTGGTCGAAAATAATGTTTATTTCTCTAGCGCATGCATCACCCGCGCTGGCTTCTGCATTTATAAGATATACGTGAATGAACTCGTACCAATTTCGGCCGATAGGATTTCCGTAATGTTAAAACATGGACTACAGCTGCGTTTTGACAATGCTGAGATAAAAATATTCTTTGTCGTGTTCTTACTTGGAAACTAAGTTCACGCAACCTGTCGTATTAACAAAAGTAGCGAATATGCGCATTGCCATGCTGGCGCTATATACCACAATCTGTTAAGCTGTGGAAGATGTTTCATAGGACAGAGAGGAAGATGTGTAAATGATGGTTTGTGTGACTTTTTTTTAGTTCAACGTAGTTACTATCACAGCGTAATTCTTCAAACATCGTAACTGAGCTTATTTCTTCCACGCATGCCTTTTTGTTGTTTTTTTTTCAGCGCGATAAAATGTTAACTACATGGAAGAAGTAGTGTGTGCAGTTACAAGATGTCTCGACTTTCAGAGGTTCAAAAAGTTTTTTCCACGTGTTTTTATTACTCTTCATTGTCATCATGATAATCATCAACCTGACTATGCCCATTGTAAGGCAAATGTCTCTCCCATGATCTGCCAGTCAAACCCAGTCTTTTATATACACCCAGCTTTTTTATTTGCTTTGACATTATTTCTGAAAACAAAATAAACTCAATTGTTTGTACATGTCCACTTCGGACAAAATGTCAAACCTGGCTTTTGAACAATATACAAAAAAGGGAGGAGTTTTTACTCTGTCTTTGTTTAATGAAATAACTTTCTGATTGATTCGAAAGTTGTGTTTAAGCATGCTAAATGAGCTGCGCGACGTCACTAGTCATTATGTAGAAGTATTGGCTGTGTGAGCAGGATCTGCTGGGTTGGCAGTGCTTGGAAGGCATCGGCAATCACATGCGGGTGACAGTGCATCGCGCTCATCCAGCCCGCTGTCTTCATTACAACCGTGGAATGCGTCGTGATGAAGTCAAGGGCGTGTGCCTTCAGCTGGTTGGCGCTGTACATGTCTGGCAGAATGAGCAACTCCGCAGCCGTTTCAACCGACAGCTTTGAGCACAGGGCCTCCTCACACATGAATTTTAATCGTTCCAAAGCATACTTGTCTGCGGCAGTCAGGAGGTCTGCCGCCATCTTGAATAGGTTGGGTGCTCGGCCAGTGTAGATGAACCACATCATCTCTCGCAGCACCTCGTGGTCTATGTCTGTTATGTCCACACGATTCTGCTTCTTCTCTTCCACATCGTGCTTAAACATGGCCTTAAATATTGGTGACCGGGCTGCAAGAATAGTCTTGTGGGCACGCAATTCCCGACCGTTGACCCTCAGGATGACGTCGCTTATGTCCTCGCTCTCAAAGAGGTCCCCAAGGTCGTCAGACAACCGAAACCTTGGCACACTGAGCTGCATGGCGTCATTCCACCCTGAGATGTTCACCGGGTTCGCAATAACTCTCACCTCACAGTAGAGAGTAAGCTTGTCGTCAGGAAGCAGTCCGTTGGCCTTGTCGAGCAAGTAGTCGCTTAGAATAAACCTCCTGAAGCCATAATCTTTTCCTGGAACAAAGTGGTACACCCTTGGACTCTCCATTGCCATGCTCTCTTCCCGGTTTGCATTGAGGATTGAAAATTTGAACTTGGCAGTGGACCACACTCGTATGGCACGAAACTAGCTTCAGGTACAAGGACATGTAGTCCTTGCTCTCCTCGTCCAGCCCCTTAGGATGAATCGTTAGGCACCACCAGGTCTTGTAATTGGCCCGTTCAGAAAATGCCGAACTGGTGAGCCCCTCCCCAAACTGTTCGCGGCAGAAGCTGTAATCGTTGATGGTCCACATGTAGGAAAATTTCACTACTTTCACCTCAGTGACACACCAGCTGTCGGCCATGGGCGTGTTGACTTCGCTCTGCGGAGATGGAGTGGGCATGCGGCGAATGGCCATGCTGCTTGACGACTCCGATATCACCTCACCGTGCGCAGCAGCGGTGGCGGTGTCTGTGGCTGCAGCAGCCGCAAAGCTTCCCGACGACGGTCGGTCCATGCTTGTGGTCGGCAGGGGCCTGTAGGGGGCAGCCATGGTGATGAAGGCGGCGACGACCGCGCTCAGCACTCACCACGGCTCGGCTGTCCGAAGGACTACCACAGCTGCGCCGCAGGAGGAGGGCACACGCTCGGCAGTAAACCTGAGGCTGTGCATCAGACGATGTTGGGCGCTTCGGCTATAACGCTGCTGGGTGAGCCACTGTCACATGTCGCACCATTCCGGCTTCTCGAGAAAAATTTGCCCTTGATGCGAAAGGTCCATCGGTACGACAAGCTCTCTCAATCTGTTTTTGGCATTCGTCCCGCAGCCAATCAGGATGAGAAAACGCTAAGTGCTTCTTCCTCTGCTCCTCATTTGCACCAGAGTTCCCTCTAGTGGATTTATAGGAAGCTCTATATCGGACAGAGCAGCTCTATTCTTTGTCATCTTCTTTGTGTAGAATGTATGTCTGATCTTTGATTTGTCAGCTAAGTCGCCATATTTAAAGTTTTCATTACTATTTACAATATAATTGTGGTGTACATAAGGCGCCACTGGCGATTACAGCGCCAGCAGATGGCACGTGTTCGGCGGCCGCCTCAGCGAAGGCGACGAAGGTGGAATAAAAAATGAGGAACGAACAAATTAGTTCATATGTTTAACTTTACACTGAAGGAAATAAGTGTACATTTAAGGGCTCGTTTTCTTTGTCAGGCACAATAATAATGAGATCTAACAGACAATCATGCCTAGGAAATCATTTTATTTATTTTTTCGAAATGAATAATGCAAGTGCGCAATTTCGAACTCGCCCTTCACATTATCTAGCTTGGCGTTAAAATTCTCAGTGAAGGCCTAGTGTGAGTTATGGGCACACTGCACTTGCACAGGCGGCGCCGCGAATGCGGTGGTTATAAAGTCCCTTGGTCAAGATCAAGGGGCTTTAGGCGGTTAGCGTGCCTACGATTCCTCGATGCGTGCGCCCCCTTGGAGGGTGGAGCCACTCTTTGAAGGGGTGGGTGCCACCTTCCGATTGGCGGCTGCCATTCGGCTTCCCCCGTCTCGTCGCGGCTGTTTGAGTGAGACACGTGCGCGGCGTTTTCTCGGGCAAAATGCCCGGGTGTTGCGTGGTGCAGTGCACAAACCACTCGCGAAAATGGCTACAGGATCTTCAGATTCACGAAAGATCCGAAAAGACGACTCTTGTGGCATGTAAAGATCAAGCGCGACAAGTGGCAATCCACATACCGTTCGTGTTTGTGCAGCTTAAGTTATGCCATTTCAGCCTTTCGACAGTTATATCTTAAAGCGTTGTCACACGGGCACTTTCAATTGCGATCAAGCCTGATCTGATTGACTCTCTTACGCCAGCTGCAGAAGGGCGCCAATCACTGTTGAGAAATTTGCTTCCGATCGGGCATACTTGCGATCACCAGTGCACCGGGTGCAGTACACGTGCATGCTGTGTACATGCGTATTTAAATCGTTCATTTTGGATAGCACAAAACGCATTGTTCTTGTTCGCTTCTTGTACACAAGCTGCAATTGCGCGAAGATGCGCGCCTACGTTGTGCGCTTGTTGCTGCCGGCGCCTTCAACTATTTCTTCTAGAGGCAAAGCTCTTTACGCCGTGGGTCGCATGTCCCGTGTCGTCGTAATCGTCGTAGTCGTAGTAGCCAGTTGATTTGCATTGTATGTCAATAAAAACGGTGTCACAACATATCCACGATGAAGAATGGAACGAAGCGTTCGTCAGTCCATCGATGATTTTGTGCGTCCGTCTGTGCATCCATCCATTCGTTCGTCCCTGCGTTCGTCCTCCCATGCATCCATCCGTCCCCCCATCTGTCCGTGCGTCGGTCTGTCCATGCGTTCTACCATGAGCCTGGCAGTCCGTGCGTCCGTCCATCTGTGCGTCCATCTATTCGTCCGTCCGTGCTATGCTGTGCAGCACTCGGTAGATATGCTGGATGGACGAACGCATGGACGGACGCAGGAATGAACGTACGGAATAACGGAACCACGGATGATTGCATGAACGGACGTGCTAATGGACGCATGAATGCAAGCAAAAACGAACGGACGGACGCTTCACCCAAGACATCATCATTAACTCCGTGGATATGCTGTGATTTTTCTCTTTTCTCATGACAGCCCGTATTTTTTAATCTTTTTTTTCAGGCTGCTGGCAAATGGCAAACTCCCTTTACACTTTTGTGGAAGGTACACAATACACAGACACGTTGAAAGGCCACGTGACTTATGTGCGTGTGTTTTACATCTTTAACCTATATAAGTAGTTACCGACTAGTCCAGAAAGACGCTAATTGAATGTGGTAACGCGGCTGGCTTCAACGGTATTTTTTCTGCTGGGAGCAACTCCAGCTGCTAATGTCGCTTTAAAAATGAAGATTAAAGACTGGAAATCCAAAACCTTCACACTCCCGATGCGAGAACTTCGTATTTCTCTCATGTTGTTTGAGTAGCACATGTTTTGACGCAACAAACTATGTATGCAGCCACGCAACTCTCGCTCGCTGACCATCATGGCTATAGGCGGCTTGCGGAGAAGGCATCGTAATGGCGGACTCCGCAGCAGACGACGCGGTTGCCTGCATCCTCCAATGTGCCCTGTAACGCTGCCTCGCCGCGTGCGTCCACCTTGTTTTGGCCTGCACCACGCTTGTTTAAACGTGTACGCAGTGCCTGCTGCCTTGTCGGGCGTCTAATTTGTCGCAAGTCCCACAAGATGACTGCATGCTGCGTGCCACACAGGGCATGAACCAATCTAAATGGATGGAAGGTGTTTTCTTTTAAAGCGATCCCAGAAGAAAAGTTCAATTGACAGTGAGAATAAAGAGTGACAAGCGACAGCCGACGAATGCCTCTCGTGTAGGCAGCGAGATTATTGCAAGCTTTCTTGCTGTGTTTTGTCACCTTTCCTTTGCTACGTCGGGTACTTGGGGGACAATTTTCGAAACGGCGTGTATATTGCTAGTAACACAGTCACAGACTAGACTATTACAAGTTGTGTGCATAGTTTTGACTTTGTGTGTGTGCGCGTACTTGTTGCACCTTAACACGATCGAACATTGAGGGAACTGGTAACCCCGTATGGTTTCATGGAGTTTGAACAGTTCTCTTAAATTTGGTGTTCCTTTCGGGGTGCACTTGCAAATGTTTCTTTCGCTGTCGCGGACATCTTTTGTTTTGTTTTATCCATGAAGGTGCGACTATAAAATTCGCGCATCTCTAACTAACTGAAACAATTCACTTCGAGTTGTGTTTTCTTGCGCAGCAAGAACTACGAATAGAAAATTCGGTGTTCATGCTCACATCGATCCCGATAGCACGTTTTGACTGCATGCATTGGCCCTCGATAACTTGCATGCCGCTTAACTGCTACAAGCCGTATACATCTCCTCAGTAATATTGTGAGCGCTTGCGTTTTCGTCACTGACAACCCAAGTGACCAAGCAGAAGGCTTCTGCTTCGAAAGAGTTCGTTGCCTCGGCGGACCTTCTTTCGTCCACATATATCGTCTCGCTCCAACATGCCTATACCTAATACCGCACAATCATCGATCGGCTCACGGGATTATCGCGGGCTTCAAACAGCCGCCTAAGACGACAACTTGCCCGTTTCAAGCTTCAAGATAGAATATCATCGGCACATTTTGTACCACGCTCTTGGTAACCAATTGGTTCTCGTCATTCCTCGCTCACTTCGTCTGGACGTTTTACAGGCGTTTCATGAAGATACGACAGCTAGTCACTTAGGATTCCACAAGACTTACGACCGCCTTAAGACTCGCTGCTTTTGGCCTGGCCTCTCCACTTAGTATGTCGCTTAGTATGTCGGTTCCTGTGCGTCATGCCAGCACCAAAAACGTACCACGTCTCTTCCCGCGGGGCCATCGCAACCACTGCCGTTCCCGTCCACTCCCTTTGGATTCGTGGGCATAGACTAATCAGTCCTCTTCCGCTCATGTCCGTTGGACACCATTGGGTTGTTACTGCCGTGGATCACCTTACTCTCTACGCGGAGACGGCAGCTCTTCCGTCTGGTGCTACCTCTGAAGTCGCCAATTTTGTCCTTCGCGCGATTATTTTACGACATGGCGCCCCATATGTGCTTCTTAGTCACCGTGGCAAAAAAATTCTTTTGCATGTTCTTGCTGAAGTTCTCCAGACCTCTAACACCATCCACAAGACCACATCAGCGTACCATCCACACACTAATGGTATGACCAAGCGTTTTCACCAAACTTTGTCCGACATGGTCTTCATGTACGCTTAACCTGATCCCTAAAACTGGGACTCTTAACTTCCTTTCGTCACGTTCGCATATAATGCCATCATACAACGTACGACGAATTACAGCCCATTTTTTCTCGTGTAGGGTGGTGCACCTACTTTTGTTCTGGACAGCACCTTTATGCCCACATCTTCCGTTACATCTTCATTTCTCCCAGAAGAGTTCGCCGCTTGCGTCACCCGTGACAGTGAAATTGCCTGCGCCAACACTGTTGCCATTCAGGACAGGAAAAAAGTCGACATTGATGCGAAGCGTCGAGTTGTTCTTTTCTGCCCAGGGGACGAAGTCCTTTCATGGACACCTGTTCGTGCACTTGGGCTCTGCGAAAAAAATCCTTCGCCGATATCTCGGTTCATACACCATCCTGGAACGAACACCTGACGTCAACTATTGCGTCGCTCCTGTCAACGCGGCGCCTAATCGTCGTCGCCGCAGTACCGATATCGGCCACGTCTCTCGACTGAAACTGGCGTTTCGATCCTTTCTAAGTAGCTGCCCTCTTTCGCGAAGGGGCGAAAGTAGTGTGAGCGCATACTATGTACTTCATCTTCATCTGTATGTTCAAACCATTGCAGTGATCATCAACGTCTGTCACGTGGGCTGGGCCGCTTTTGCTCGCGTGTCTGGATTGAAAATATAACCTTACTTCCGTACCGGACGTCGTCTCATAATATGAACACACTGAATCAATAATATGCACTAAAATACACCGATTCCTTCCGCATTTCATACGTAGAGATACATGCAAGTCTGTTCAGACTTGTGTAATACTTAGGATTTAATTGGAGTCAAAAGCGGTGACTTTTTTTTTACTGGATGCTTTTTTTCATTGCTTCCCATAGCACCAACGAGGAGAGATCGATGGAACAGCCAGCTCACTCAACGTACAGAAGTTTCCCATAGTGCTTCGCGCAGCCGTGTGGGGTTCTGGGATTGCTTGAAAATGACCTATTGCGGCAATAAGATCATACGATCGCCTGCGTACAGTTGTACAAAACCTGATTCGCACAAGCATAGCTGACTTAAAACGGCTTTGAATGTCATTGGTGCATGTGCACCTGTTAGCTAATAGCGGAGTTAGCAGGTATGAAATCAGAACTTACCTGAGCGAACCCGCAATCAGGAATGGGGCGGAAATGTCATGCTCTGATATATTCCATTTTAGTTGATTACCATTCCATATCTAATCTAGCCGTCCCATCTGCGGGCGCTGTCTTCACATTTTAGGGACGAAGCTCCTCATGGTTTAAGGCAGTCGCGCGTCCTTCCGGCGTAGCCAGCACAGCGTACAGAGAGACGGACGGACGGACGCACGTACGGACGTGCGTACGAACAGATACATGGATGGATGGTCGCACGAACGGATAGACGGACGGACGAATGCTTGGCCCCACTCATCATCATTCACTCTGTGGATATGTTGTGATTTTTTGATATTTTGTTAATTCATTTGGTTCACGAGATGCGTCGCACGCGGATAAGAAAGACAGGATATCTATAGAGCGCGTCGAAATATTGTGTGTTGAACTCCAAGAATTCGAGCTGGAATAATGTCAGACGTACATAGAAGCATAAATTCTGTGCCTTAATTGTAGGTGTATTATTGCACCACATTTCCTTTCGACAGTCTAGGGAATCGCACCTTTCCATTACTGTTATTTAATACACAGTGTTCCGCATCTCTAACTTGCCTTAATAAAGCTAATATGTCGTGCCTTAAACTACAAGAACTGAAAATATCTACCTGCAAAGTATAAAAGTGAATAGTAATGTCTGTAGCTGTGCAGCCCTCAGCCGTAGTCCGCAGCCGAGGGGCCGCGCGGCCAGTCAGGATTTATACGTTCTGCAACACTTTCAGGCGCGAAACATTTATTTACTTGTTGAGATGCGTGCTTAAAAACGCAGAACTAGGAACATTCATGAACGATTTTGCATTTGTGAAGGCAAATCAAGCACAAAGTGTTTTACTAGAGAGCGAAATGCCGCGAAGCCGCGCGCTTGCATGCAGTGCGCGCATGGAGGAGTGGGTCAAGTAATGGCGACCGCTGTAGCAGACGACGCAAATCTCTCCACTCTGAAAGGAGCGGATGCGATCGAGTGCATTGAGGCACTCTAGGTAGAAATACTGTATATGCTACCTTTAGAAAGCATATACAGTACCTCTAGTAGCATATACAGTATCTATATACAGTATCATATACAGTAAAGGTAGCATATACAGTATTTATATACAGTATTATAAGCAGTAAAGGTAGCATATACAGTAACTGTAACTCTAGGTGGTGTTGAGCGCGAACGCGGCCGTGTCCGCGTTGCTGGTGTGATAGCGTTCCTTCCACAACCACATGCACGCGCGGCTGTTTTTGCGAGTGTGGTGTCGTCTGTGTGCGTTCGTCTGCAACTGCAGTCTGGTCTTCAGGCTGGATAAGTCTTCTAGTGTAGCATAAAGGCAAGCTTCCGTACGAGCCAGGCTATGTGCATAATGTTGAAGAACCCTCTGTGGGCGGAAGTGTGTTGAGTGTGGTGACAGGTCGGGTGTGTGTCCCAAACGTGCATCAACACTCCGTCAAAGACCATGAAGTTGACAAAGATCAAGCATTTTCAATGAATAGTTTCCCCTTAATTCATTGTTTTTTCCATTGGTTTTCGAGCGCTCTCGCCGCAGATGCCGGCAACTGCAACCACATGCGACAGTGACTATGTACCGGCAACAATACGAAAGCGAATCTAAAACAACTCAAGCGAGAATCACGCGTGGTTCACATGAAAGTAGGTCACAACCTCAACAACAACAACAACAACAAAAAACGCTGAAAAGTAGAAAGTTGATTTCAGCACGATATTTTTGTTATTTTGACCAAGCAAAAGTAACATACGAGCAGGACAAGCGCAAAACAGAGACGTGAAGATTTTAACTGTGAATCGAGTCAATTGAATACGCCTAGAATGAAAGGAATACTTTCGCTTTCAAGCCTAAAGAACGCTGAAAAAAAAACAATGACAGATGCCGCGTGCAGTGGGAATCGATGATATGCGAGGCACGCATTAGGAAGGTTGAAATTTCACTTTAAAATCAGCACAATGTTACGAGGCGGTAGTAAATCATGTCCTACATGACTTCCATATCATGATTATCATTTTTGGACGTGCAATTTACCTTTCTCGCCTATTAACGTCACGTAATACCAAATTTGGTATATGTGGAGCTAACGAAACGGCCGTGAGCCCGTTTAGCGTAGCGTGTATATTAGTCATGTTTTACATGAGACGCAAATTATTGTTATCATGTTTGGCCATGTCGTTTACCTTCGTCGTCTATTCACGTCACGTGATACCAATGTGAAGCTAGGGCCGCGGGTGCATCATGAGCGTGGCATGTAGTCAGGTTCCTACATGACACGCATCTCATGATTATCATGTTTGCATCAGTCATATATACCTTCGTGATCCATTCACGTCCCCTAATACCAAATTTGGTATATGTGAAGCTATAAAAATGACCGTGAGCGTTCCATGAGGATGGCGTGTAGTCATGATTTCCACGTTAGGGTATAACTCCTCCCGAACGATTCCTCGAATAATTTTGTACAGATCGTCGCAATGTAGCACTTGAACCTCCGCGTTGGTTGTCGCAGGAATGCAGCGGTTGCACTGGCTGGTACCCATTACAAGCGCCTTT